CCCCAAAACCCCAAAACCCCAAAACCCCAAAACCCCGTCAGGTAAGATTGACGAAAACGGATAATTATATCAATAATACGAAAAAATAAATTATTATAAACTTGAGAATATATATTAAATGTTAAAGAAACAGATGGTCTTGATCACTGCTCCTCAGAAAAGTAGGGCAAGATCTTGAATACCACCAAATCTGGATCTCAGATTGCACTTTACTTGAGATGAACTTCCAATGTATGGGTTTTCGCCAAACGCAGTGTCTAAATCTTTTTTATACTAAGGGGAATTTTCAAGAATAACTGGATCAAACTAGAAGATCACATTTTACCTCCCTAATTTGTAACCATATCTCAAGACTCCATTGATGTCAAATAATAGAGAGAATGTATTTGTCTCTGATGCTGAAGTTTTTAAGTTGATAGTGTTTTAAGTGATCTAAAACTCAAAAAGCTATGTTGCTTATTCATAATTTTATTAAGTCTCTTCTTTATACTCGATCTGGACGTGTTCCGTATTGTTATTGGAATTCAATACTGAGATGAATGTAGGAATATCAGCATTATGATCTTTCAAGATATTGCTTTCTTGTAAGAATACACTATCCACCTTGCTATGATAAGTAGACTGTGAAATATTAGTCTCACCGAAGTGAGCATAGGCATAGTAGGTTTCTTAAGTATTTACTCTTTCGATCACTTAAAGTTTGGTATTAGTTGTGGGATCAATATGTAGTCTAAAGTTAACTTCTTCTTTGTTTCTGAATTTATACAATCTTTCGCTTTGATTATTTGGATTTTGAGTAAAAATCTATCCTGTTAGAGTGAAGCTATTCTGAGAGAAGTTTATGAGTGGTCTGGCAATTACAGTTGTTGCTAATGCAATAACTGATAAAATGATGGCTTGTTGTTTCATTATTAAATGTAATTTTATTTATATAGCAATTATACTACTATTTTTATAAATAGCAATCAGATATGACCTTATGGGGTTTTGGGGTTTTGGGGTTTTGGGGTTTTGGGG